CCCTCCCCAGCCAGGTGTATATACTAGCCCAAAGTGCAGATCGTGAAAAAAATTCCCTGGTCCAGCAAGCAGCCCGCGTCCTTCATGGCATCCGGACGCTCTTCTCTTAATAGGAAAACAATGACGTAGATAGCTCAGTACACGGGGCCTGCCCTGTTTTCGTTTTGATCGCCACAATTTTCTCCAACAAGATCGCTGCAATCATTTTTTTTCCTAACAACATTGCTACTACTATCGTAAAAAAAAGATCGCTACTTATCCCTAATTCCACCAGACCCAGTGCTCCGATCGCGAGTGCCCATGCTCGGACGCCGACGAACTCCTCTTGCGAGACTCCAGTCTCCATGCGCCGGACGCACACGGGCATGCACGGCCAGACCGCATGGGCGCATGGCCGAGCGCCTCCCGCCTCCCGCCAGACGCCGGTTCATTCCACATCGTGTCATGGCCAAGCCCCAGATTATCGATCAACGGATGTGAATCCAAGGTGTATCGTATTACCGTGCTGAAATTCAGCCATTTGTGAGGTATACATGCTTGTAATCATACTTACAAATTATATCACTTCTGTTAAACTAATTAATTGGACCAATGGTGAAGCTGCTTTTACTTTAAGTAAATTGTAGAACTTTAGTGCTGAAAGTTTCTTAGATTGGAATGAGATATTTTCATAGGATTTTTTGCGGTATTTTGGCACAAATTTATTTTTAATAGATTTGAGTTTACAGCCCTTACAAATTGTCTTATGTGATTGCATGTATATTCACTCCCATCATTGCAAATTCAAGAGCTTTAAACTCTTGTGCAATTAAAAAAGTCATTTAATCTATATTATGTACTTCCTATTTTTGTCTTCGTGCATTTTACGATCCAAAGTTCAAAAAATTATTTTAGAAATTTATTTATGAATTATGTGCCGTGACATGATTGTATAGTCATATGCAATCCACATATTATTACGAGTATTAGTAAGCCCGAAATTTTACTTTCGCCCCGGGCCCTCAAAATCTTAGGACCGGCCCTAGTTGGATCGCCCAAGGAAGAGTCGCGGAGGCGCGGACGCGCAGCCGGAACACGGCGTCCCTGGTCCAATTGATGATGCGCCGTCGCACGCGCCGTTTGTATTGGCAGCGCTGCGGGACGTCGGCGTCGGCGAGATCGCGGGGCGATCGCGCGCGGCGTGAGTAGGGAGGACATGCCCCTTTGTGTAGTAGGGACAAACACCGGCCACCATCCTACTACCCGGCTACTTGTGGACGAGACGCGTGAGCTAGCGCGCGATCGATCGTCAGAATTGGCAGTGGCCGGCGATCAAGATAGCAAGTTTGCAAATCATTACATGCGCATTGCGCACTGATGATGGTACGACCAGTCGCCTACTCCTAGCGTACCACAGGCACTCCATGACAGTAGGAAGTAGCACATGGCATCAAGAGACGGACGACCCTACGCTACGCGGCCACCGACTTGGCTTGATTTTCCATAAACATGCAGCGGGTCAAAGCGAGTTAGCCGGCCATGCATGCCTGCCTCCTCTTGTGCTAGCTTATCCGACTACGGTCCGCCCATTGTCTTGGATGGGCGTATCCGCGTGGTATGCCACCACGTTCTCGTGCCGACGCCAAGGAATGGCAGACAGGGAAAGAGGAGACGAGCAAAGCACGCGTCGCTGCATGACGACGAGAACCAGGTGGGCCCAGCGACTCCCGGTCCGACCGGCCGTTGCGCCCTGTTCCCTTCCCTGGCCACGAGTCAACACAAAGTTGTCCATAATTTGGCCACGAGTCAACACAAAGTTGAGGCCAACTCCACCGTGCTGTTCGCGTGCGTTTATTTGGGGTAAAACGGACGAACCAGGCGGCCTAATGCACGGACACAAACGGACTTTTGTTCGTTTTCTGTTCGATTTCGTCCCATCCCGACCTAAATTTGCGTCGCTTTTAGGATGAAACGGACAACACGCGGACGTGCGGGCCGTATGCGCGTGTCCTCCTCTTGCCCGCCCGTCAGTGGCACATGGGCGCCTTTTTCTATCCGCCCCCTCCCTCCCTCCGGCCGCACGCCCTCCATTCTTCTTCACTCTTTCCCACCCTTCTCTTGCCGTCGCTGCTGCCATTGTAGTTGTGCAGCTCTGACGCGCGCTCGCCCAGCCCCTTCCCCTCGGCGCCCCCAAGCTACCCAACCACGGCTCGTCCGGCTGTGGGAGGTCGCGCCATGCCATGGATTGGCCGGTCACCGGGCCGGAAGACCATGGCAGGGCCGCAAGGCCACATGCAGGCAGTGGATCCTCCTCTAGCCGCTCGGATCTACACCGTCGGTGGTCCGCTGGCAGATACACGAATGGCGGTCGACCGGGCTCGGTGCTAGCCCAAAAGCTCGTCGGCGCATCATTGTCGCTCATTAAGTGCGAGCACTGCCTAAAGATGGTCGTGCGCCGCGTGTCTACAACGCCAAAATATCCTGGATGGGTGTTCATCAAGTGCTTAAACGATGGGGTACGTGCTCTTTTTAGCTTCGGTTTGTGCTCTAGATTTGAATAGTTGTGTTAACTTCAAATTTTGTTGTGTAGAATTGATGCAAGTTTTGGTATTGGGAAGAAGAGTGCATCGATATATTGATAGAGCGCAATTTAGTAGATATTAGTGCACTTTTAGCTAGCATAGAGGCCGTAGATGAAACAAGTGCACTTGTTGCTAGATTATAGGCTAGACACGAGACTAGATGCAAGGAAGCAACCTCTACTTTTTTAGACTCGAAGAAGAAAGAAACACGCAAGATGGAGGCGGCTCCTTCGCAGATTAACAATGAATGCATCGAGAAGGCGCTAATCCAACTTACAAGAGCAGTTGTGAAAGTTGGATATCTTTTAAAATGTATTCTTGTGGTTTTTGTTTTTTTGGTCTTGTTTTTCTAGTCAAAATTTGATGATGTATTTCCACGTATCAAGAATGAATAATGAAAAAAAAATTAACGGCTTGCAAAGAAAAAAGTACGCGGACAGGATGCGGCCGAGATGTGACCGCGCGTTGAACGCACGACCACCGCATCCCAGAATATGCCCGGACACGACCCTATGGCCCTATCCAAACAGACAGAATCCGGACAAAACAGACGTCCGTTTGGGATGGAATTGGCCTGATGGCCTCACTGTTGCTGTTGCTGGCCAGGGCCCACTAACATGCGACCATGGGAGATATTGCAAAGTTGACTGGGCACGGAAATGCGCGGAATGAACGTCGAACGAGTCGCTCCATGGCGTAACTGGACCCGACGGAGACTGGGTTGGGCCCCTACAAGAAGCCTCGTTTGGGAAGTCCAACACGATGAGACCAGTGCAACATGACACTAGTTTGGCGAGAAAGCTGCAAGTTGCATGGTTCCCTCAATCAATCAAAGAATAAATAAGCTGCAAGTTGCATGGCCGCATGGCGCATCCCCTCGATTTCATAGTGGATGAAGTGTACTATTTCTTTATTTTTTTTTTGCGGGAAATTTCGTGCATGTTTCAAATGTTGGAGCTTTACCAACAACGAAATCTTGATGATCTTGCTATTTTAACCGATCGAATGTGTGGACGTAAACGACGACGGGTGCAGCATCCTCGAGAGACCAACGGGAAAAACGTTCACTTCCTCCGGCGGCGCACCGAAGAAGAGCTCGACCCCACACTGAGAACGTGCGGG